AAAATGCAGCTAGTTACTCTTGGAGGGGAAAATAGATTTGATTGTTCTATAATTTTTTTCTTTTTAACTATTGGTAGGTCCCTTCACCCTCTTCTTCTGACTGATCATAGCCTTGCTATTTTAATTAAACTGCCAGTCTTAACATAAAGCACTCGCACCTTCTCTAGCACGTCTACCCTGGTACGGACAGTCTCCACCAACTCAGTTATCAGTTCCTTAGCTCTGAGCTCATTAAGGACCTTTCCTTCTCCCTCAGACTCGTTGATGACAACAGTGCTAAACTGGAGTCGGGGGCGTCTTGTATTGAAATGTCATCTGTTACATGATTGGCTCTCTTGCAGGATGGCCCCAAGCATCATGAAAAGCCTGATGGACCACACCATTCCCGAAGTCTAATAACCTGTACAGCGCATCGCAGTGAACGTTTCCAGTTTCCTTCTTCGGCAACTTCTAGATTTTGCATATGAAGCTTTCCCGAAGCCAGGGAGAATATGCTGCATGGGGACCTGTCTATCTTCCATCATGGCTGGGAACCTCACGCTATCTGACGTCTTCTTCAGAGTTAAGATAGGTGTAGCCTTATCCTGGTTTTACAGATGTGAAACTTCCTGACTTTCCTAGAATCGTTTCTTTACTGGAAACCTGATGTTTTTATAAGCCATTGTGGTTAGGATGACTGGTGTAGACTTAGCTGTGGGAACTGTCCTAGATAAAGCACAGTGCTGGTCGTGTGCTTCAGTTCTGTGGCACACTTGGACATCAGCATACAGTACATTGAGGATGATTGCCTTTGATAGTTACTTTTTTTCTCTGTATGAGTGTGTAAAATTCCAGCTAATCAACACTGGTTTCATTCCACAAAAGCATTATACAGTGTGTGTAGTTTGCAAAAGACTTTATGATTGTCACGAAATTTTAACTACCTTCACTTAATGTGCTTCAACTGTCGCCTTAACTACAGTAAGCGTTTAGAATAAAAGCCAAAATAGAATTACTGCTGCCTTCTGAGACCTGAGGTGTTAGCTCTCTAGTAAGCTGGCGCACACCAGCCCCGAGCAGCTCACCGGCAAAGCAGAGCTGCCTGGTTGTAGATGTTTCTAGTCGCTGCATAAAGGAAACGCCTACAAGTTGCCGTATTGCTTTCTGAAAAACAAATCGCTATATATTTCATGTAAAAGTTGTTATATAAACAGAACAAATTTTGGAGTCTCCTTTTCACTTGTAGATTAAGTGGGCAATACTTAGTTTGGCATTTGAATCCTAACATTATGTAACTTAGCTACTTTGGGTAGTCTTAGACTGCTTCCCTAGCCATTTTAATTTGTTCTGTTTCTGACTCCGTCCTCTAAACAGAAATGGCAATGACACTTTATCTTGATTTTTTTTTCTTTTTGGTTTTTGCGTATCCTAGTATTTTATCTGATATTATCTTATTAAATGTATAAAAATATTAAGTTTTAGTCTGTGTTATTTCTTCAGTTCTCTCACATCCAGTCCTGAGAGCAGTCCTAGAGCTGAGTCTGTCTGGACCCCTAGATGTCCAGGCCTGAGGCCCCCGTTCACCCTGTACCCTAGTTGTGGGTGATGAGGGGACCTGGTGAGGCTTCTGCATTGCGAGTAAAACCAGAGACCACCGCCGTGTTCAGTGATGCTTAAAACCGACTAAGTCTCTAGACTATAACAGTACTCCCAACAGTTCAGAAAATTTGTGATCATATGGTCGCTGTTCAGAGGTGAAATAAAAAGAAAATGATTGCTGTTGCTACACAGCTTACCTTGCTGGACACCGACATCCCCCAGTTTATCAACCTTGTGTTCTGAACTTGGTCCTGATGATAAGCCCAAAAGAAATGAAACAAATTATATTGTTACTAAGTACAGTTTTGTGAAAGGAGTAATACTTGTGATTTATTTATTTATTTTTTGAGACAGGGTTTCTCTGTGGCTTTGGAGCCTATCCTGGAACTAGCTCTTGTAGTCCAGGCTGGTCTAGAACTCAGAGAACCACCAGCCTCTGCCTCCTGAGTGCTGGGATTAAAGGCGTGAGCCACCACCGCCCAGTTTCCACCGCTCGGCTATGATTCTTAAAAGAAATTGTTTAAATAAGAAAAGGAAGAGTGCTTTCATTACAGAAAAAAATTTAATGTAGAAAAGATGAACATTTAGTAGCGTAATGAAATATAACCCGTTGCTATCCACAGTACCTTCCTCCCCCGGGTTCTTAGAATCTGGGCACACGCACTGCAGAAAGCAGCGATCCATGAGAACACACCGAAGACCCCTGGTGACAACTGCGCACTTGGGTCAGAGGCTCCTTCCTTCCTGGGAGAACTGAGCTGGCCAGTGCTGCCTGCGGGTTCCTCAGTCGAATAGTTCTTGTCCTCTACCACCCAGTACAGTCTTGTAACCTTCATCACATGTGACAGTCCTCTGTCTTCAAAAGAATGTTCTTGCCCCTAAAACCACCATATTTTTATCTGCCTTAATGGATGACAGCAAATGGCTTTGAATGAAGTCATCATGATTTAGGAAGCTGAAACTTCAAATCTTCAGTAGTAAAGTACTGTCATTGCACATTCACCAGTTCAAAGTTTGGTTTAAAAATACATTAAATAGAAGTGAACTCAACAGAGAGGAAAAGGCACTTAATACTGCAGTTTCCAGAACATAATCTGTCTGTCTTCCCCTCCTGTGATGATACTGCTGCACTGCTCGTTCATCCAGATGCATGTCACGGCACCTGCAAGACAGTCGGTGAGGGTGCATGCGGCCAAGGGCAGACACGGGGACTGCAGGGCTGACTGCTGGACGCTTAGAGAGGAAGCAGTCACTGTACCTGTCTTTCTATAAAGAAAACTATCTATGAGTTTAAAACACCCACTTCTACAGAGAACTCGAGAGGAATGAAGCCATTTCAGTACGAGTCTGAAAGCAAAATGACCGATGGCAACACACACTTTGGCGGATGCTGTGAGACCTATGGGAAGGGAGTGGCAGCCCGGTCTGCAGGTTTATGCCTATTCCATTGAAAACATAGCTACATAATTTAAGATACATGTCTAAGAAGAAATAAAGCATATGAAATTAGAAGAAAAGAGAGTGAAGGTCCATCTCACAGTGGGAAGGTGTAATGGTGAAAACAGCCCTGCAAATGTAAGCAGACTACACTGAGCTTCCCAGAGTCTGCAGCTAAAAAGGGAGAGAGAGCAGAGAGCTCTACATGAGTCTCTGTGTTGTGCAATTCTCTCCACTTAATGCTTCCGGTAAAATGGATCAGCATGCCCGTGACTGGCAAACACCCCCAGACTGGGAGGTAGAATTCCAGCCTGACACCAGGAGGCAGGAAGATGCCTCGGTTTCCACGGCAGTTTATTTTTCCATTGTCTTTTGGTATCAGTTGTTCAGCTTTGCCATGGTTTTTATTCTCTAAATGGTAGTAAAGATTTTTTTCAGAGGCTGAAATAAATATAAATCTTAGGAACCTGAAAGGCATAACCACTGGCCAGTCAGGATGTACAGGGATGTTCACCCAGAGGCACATGAGGTCTGCCTGAGTCAGAGACCGTTGCGCTCCTCACCTGTGTGGCCCTGTATCCGCTCACTGATTTTTGCTCCAAGGAGGTCCCAAACAAGCAGCTCACCAGACCGACTTCCAGATAAGACAGAATTTCCATCCCAGACGAAGCACCTGCAAGCATGATCGGAAGACAGTCCACCATAAAGCAAGCACGTGACCCTGGTCAGGCATGAGATGGACGATCACGAACATACTGCAAATGCCAGCACTCAGCAGCTGTACCTCTGTGGCTCCTCCGAGGCCATGGACGAGATGAGCATGCCCGTCTGCACATCAATCACGTTTAGACAGCCGTCTACTCCCGTGCTGAGGACGTGGCGACTATCTGTCATAACGACACAGGGAGCTGCTTCAGAAAGCAGGTCTGATCACTCAGACTTGGCTTCTGAATCTGCTGTGTACTTCATTTCCGTGAAGTCTGTCTTTATACAGTTTGAATAGTTTGTAAGAACAGTTTTATAGTCAGTCTTTCTTCCTACGTTTTTAAAAATGGGTACAATAATTAATGTTTGTTCCTTCTTTCCCCTCTGTCTCCCAACTCTCCTACTGGAAGCCACTGCCTTTTTGATCTGTATCTCCACTATCAGAAGCATAGCAGTTTTGCAAGCTACAAAGGTGCTTTTCTGACTAGGAACACCTACAGGTACAAGTGTGCCCAGCTGGCAGCATACACGGTTACATGTATGGTAACATGTACATGTTACGGTACAGGGTCATGCAGACCGAGACAGTTTGTCTCTTGTGACTAGTGTTTACACCTGGTAGGGTCAGGGTTCTCATGACCATCTCATCAGCTGAACACTACTCCATCTCTTCTGTGGGGCTAGACCAGGCTTTCCATTTATCCCATAGGCAACAGAACTTGGAAACTTACTCTTACTAGTTGGCTCTATTTATCTTTCGTTCTTAGAAATGAAGTAAGTGTGGGTTCTGCTTCATTCCTTGTCTTGGACTCTTCCCATTAACTAATGTATCATCTATTTAATAACATTTTCAAAGACTCTTGTGGTTAAAACCATTCTTTCCATTAACCGCAACAGTTATGCAAATACTGTTAAGCTTCATGACTCCTTCAGGGCAGTAGTGTGGTAGCATGGTGAACACAGGGAGAGCAGGCAGCAGACATGCTTCTGGGGTCATGCCTGGAATTATGCATGGACCTGTCCACGGGTCTTTGACAGAGTCTCTTGTTAGTAAGAAATGTTTTGCTTTTGAAGTTTTAATATCAGCGTTCTGAGCTGCTGTGTCCTGTACTGAAAAGGACAATACTTACCTGGGCTAAAAGCAGCATCACATACTGTCCCTGAATGGCATGAAATCTGGTGTAATAAGGTGGCCGTAGTGAGGTCCCAAATATTCACCATACCTTCTTTGGTGCCAGAAACTAACAGTGTGCTTACGGTATTTAAATTGATGGTATCGACCTAAGAAGAAACAGTGATAAACAAGTGGCTCAGATTCCTCATTAACTGCTTTTTCCAGGCTTCTTAAAATATGCACCACAAGGATTAAAAATTAAACTTTACTGTGCGGTAAACAGTTGTGCTGGCCAACTATTATGATTGTATTATATTCTAGTAGTATCTCATCAAATGACCATTTATTTTAAAATGAAGTAAAATTCTAAGTATGCTAGGAAAATACAGGTATATGAAATAATATAGGGAGTCGTAGTAATGCTGTTTTCAAATGGTCTAGAATAGTCTACTAAAAGACTACTGTATCCAGCAAGGGTCTGCCACAGTTGAAAGAGAAACACTTTCCATGGTTCAAACAGCCTGAAAAAAACCCAAAAAGAAAAAACAAAACAAAACAAAAAGTACGCTAAACAGATTACTGGGAGCAATACTCTATCTGAGGAGAGGAATAAATGCAGCCAAGTGACTAAAGAAAAATCAATGAATCCTAATTTAATGATATGCAACTGAGAACACAAACCAGAAAAAAAAAATCAAACTGACTACAGTCTACACATCCAAATACTAATGGATTAAAAAAAAAACCCATTGTCTATTGTCTATAAAAACCCAGTTTGAAAGATAGGCACCATTTCCTTAAAATGAAAGGATGGAAAAAGTATTTCAAGTGATGGGAGAAAGAAGCATGTGGCTTGGCTCGCCATCCTTAATCTATGACAAAATAGATTTCACACTAAAACTAGTCATCAGACAATGAAAGGAAATTCATTCTAATCAAGGGATCAAGTAGCCAGGAAACTATCGCAATACTAGACATATATACACCAAACTCTGATGTGCCCCATTTTATTAGAAGCAGAAGAGAATTAAAGACACAGACTAATGGAGTAACAATCATAGTAGATGATTCTAACAACCCACCTTCTCCATAAGAGAGGTCATTTGGACAAAAAAGAAAAAAGAGAAACCTCAGAATTAAATATTGGTTTCTCTAACATGAAACCAATAACATATCTACAGAATATTTTACCAAAATATCAAATAACTTTCAATCACACATGGGATCTACTCTAAAACAGAGAACATGCTGGGACACAGAGCAAATCTTTGAAATAATTCCATATTTCCTATGTAACCATTATAGTATGCACTCATAAGTGGCTTTTTAGACATAAAGCAAAGAAAAATCATCCTACAGTTCACAGCCCCAGAGAACCTAAACAACAAAGAAGACCCCCGCCCCCCAAGCTGGAGTCCCCTCTTCCATCCATTTCCTGTCTGTACTGCTGTTTTCCCACCCTTGTCCCTTTATCCTTTCCTGGTCTACATGTTGTGTATCCACATTGGAGCTGGGGGCTGCAGGTGATAAAGAATAGGTGACATCTAAGCTTTCGCGCTCAGCATAATCTTTTCTAGGTCCATCCATTTACCTGAAAATTTCATTTACCATACAGCTGAATAGTATTCCATTGTGTATCAATGTACTGCATTTTCACTATCAATTATCTGTTGGACATTCTCTGGGGGAGCAATACAGAAGAGACGAGGGACAAGTAACAACAGAGCTGTTTGATAATGCCTCAAGTAATCGTATTACCTATATTGATGTTAAACAGTATGCAGCACATAAGTGTGTGTGCACACACATATGAAGTTAAGCCACCTGGGCTGACAATGCTCCCCACAGGAATCATAGACTAATGAATGCTCCAGTACCGGGCATGAGAAATTGCCTATTGCATGGTCATGGTAGTCCAAATGACTCCCAATCAATTCTTGGTGTCTCTCACAGATTGAAGGTAGGGTAGGCTCTTCTTCCTGAAGACATTATACTTGAGGACACAGAACTTGGATGACTTGAGCTGGATCTGACCTGAAAGCCTTTTTCCTGCCGTCTAGCTTCCTTGGGTCCAGAAATTACTATGCAAGTTGCTAAGGGAAGGAAGCAATTAAAGTCTTATCAAGCTGTAACACCTAGGAACCAAGCCAGTTGCCAGCATGGTAAGATAGGCACAATAAATGGCCCTCATATATCAGCGGCAACCAACAGCTGTCTAATTGGATTTAAGGCCATTTAACAGGAAGAAAAGCATCCGTGGTACATCCCTAAATTAGCCAGCTTCTTGGGACTAGTGAGGTCATGGACTTCAGAAAGCGGTCTTCACTACCACTTTGATAAGCCTTGTCCTTATATCCACAGATAAGCATAATTCCACTCCTCATCAAAGAAGCAAATAGAGACCAGCACAGAAAACCACAAATGTATCTCACAACGATTCTGAGATTAACAGATTGTAGGAAGCCCAGTCCCTCTGGTCACATCTGCATCACAGTTCCTGCATCAATGGCTCCGGGACCACAGAAGAAAAGAGGGCAGCAAGAGTGTAAGAGTCAGACTACCAGGAAGGCAGCTGTGAAATGGTCTCTCTCAGAAACAGTGACACAGACCAGACTGGAACAGTGCCACATCGGGGGACATGCTAACGCAGACAGGCTCTCACAATGGATGACGGCTCAGAGGAGGAGAATGAACACATACACGTACATATGTGTGTACATATTATTATATGTATTAGCAATAAAAAAGAAAAAGACTACCAACTGAAGAGTAAAGGCACTTGGTAGGGGCTCAAGGGATGTCAGGGAGGAAATGTAGGCAAGAAGGTGATGTAATTCTATTGTAATTAAAAACATATTTTAAAAAGTTAACTCTGAATAGTCCATTATACTAAGGTGACAAACTACTTGAAGCAGGCTGAGCAGTGACTGTTTAAGGCTTTGTGGAATGAAGGATCTCTCCATTTGAATATCATCTTGAATTGTATACTAAAAGTCTTCAACCTTATATTTGAAGACCATGAAAACGCAACATCAATTCACAGATGCTAGAAAATGCAGGACTGCAAACTATAGCCTAAGACACAGCAGCATGACTCAATAAACCACCAGTAACAAGTTCTAGTTTGGCTCTGCTGCTAGGCTGTGCATTCTTGGCCATCCTAGATACCTCTCAGTTTTCTCAGCTTTGGGATAGTTATCTCCAGAACAGATGGTCCCTTCCACCTTCTAGGTCAGAAAGCATGAAGATGATGGGTCCCACCTCAGAACCGACATTTTGAAAATTAATTGGGACAGAATTCTGCTAATTCTCTTGGGTAAATGTGCCAAGGAACCAATTAGAGGGGGAAAGGAAAGCAGAATCAAATACCCAACAGAATCACCCAAAGAGCTAGCCTATCAATCTCTAATATGCAAATGAAAGTAAAGGAGAAAACATACACAAATCCAAGTACTTACTGCCCACCCACCCTCTGGCCCGAGAGCTTTGCTGTGGGACTCACACTGACATCATGTTCCAGCTCAGCCAGCAAGTCAAATTGGTGTCTTTTAGTGCCTGGCATGTCTGCAGGAACACCGGACCACACCTAGGACAGAGCACACCACAAAAGGTATTTTTAAACTTGGATACAAAGTTCTCCACACATTTGTAGAAGACTCTCATCTAGCATGCCTGCCCATGAAGCCCATGGGCTTCTTCCCCGCAGGTCGACACATGCCTTTGTCATACCTGTCCCTTGAACATGGTACTCTGTGTTGGAGTAGGAGGGCCTTCTGTCTATGTGTTACTTCATCGGTTAAATAAAGAGACTTCATTGGTCTTTTGATAGGATAGCAGCTTAGATAGGTGGAGTAGACAGAACAGAATGCTGGGAGAAAGAAGGCAGTGAGATGGACGCCATGACTCTCCTCTCCAAGATGGATGTAGGTTTGACTCATCCCGGTAAACCACAGTCACGTGGTGATATACAGATTATCAGAAATGGGTTAATTAAGATGTGAGAGTTAGCCAAGAAGAGGCTAGATATAATGGGCCAGGCAGTGTTTAAATGAATACAGTTTCCATGTAATTATTTGGGGTAAAAACTAGCCAGGGCTGCTTCTCACTGCCCGCCATTCCTCATTAGCCAGGTGGCGGAACGCAGTCCGCCGCTCCCTGTTACATCACTGTGTTGTGTAAGCACTGGGAATCAAGGGAAGGCTGAATGCCCAGGTGCTTCAAAAAGTGGGTAGCCAAACCCCTAATGATATTATGTACAGGAAACTTATCTATAAGGCTAGGGGGAAATTACAAAATTCAGACAAACTCTCCAAGAAACAATGGCTTTGTATCTTTCCTGTACACAGAATCGATCTGGAAATGTAGGGTACAGAGAGCACTGGAGCGGCTTGGATGGGAAAAGCACAAGGGAATCTGAAGAGAAAGCTGATGGCCCTGCAATACAGAGACAGCGAGAACACATGGATGCGTGTTTCACAATGAAACACACTGATCTTTCAATGATCCCTCAACTTAACTTGCACTGTTAGAATTAACTGATCAACCAGGAGGGCTCCAGTCTGTCATCAAACAAGGGCTCCAAATCTGTTTCTGAAGACCTAGAAACGCCTATGTGAACACACTGCAGAAGCACACACGAGACACTATTATTGAAGACACACTCATGTGTATTGAAGGTGAACACACTGCAGAAGCACACACGAGACACTATTATTGAAGACACACACGTGTGTATTGAAGGACATAAGAAACCAAGCTGGAACTTAGCTGACAATTTCTTTCCTGGTGGCGAGCTTTCAGGGTCAGCCACTGGGGTGGGTAGGGGGTCATGAATGGATTTGTCCACCAGTGGATCCTGCGTGTTATTAGACTGACGTGCCTGCTGTGTACAATAATGGCTTCCCAACTGGATCTGAAGCCTACTCCACAGGAAGGAATTCATGTCTTGTCCTGTAAACCTGGTCAAAGGCCCATGGCTGGGGAAGTCCTGGGCCTTAGGTGAAATTACTGCTGTTTTCTGACAGTCTGCTGCCTACCTATTTATGTTTAGACCTTAGATGGGTGCTGTTCTCAGCCTTGGTCAGGGAAGCTGCTTTCTGCAGTTGGAAACATTAAATGCAGACACTCCTAACCGCTCAAAGTGCTGAGTGCAAGTGACTATCAATTGCTTGGTCCTTCATGGGCATTCACACATCACCCAGTGCTGAGTCTGCAGGAGGGAGGCGTGCTATGCGCTGTCTTCTGGGTAGGACATGGCTGCCACACTCAGGAACTCCCATCAGCTGTGCTACCTGCATGAGATGTCCACAACCTTCCATCGTGGACAGGAGAAGCCTCATGAGGCTCTGTCCATGCTAAGCAGTTAGTGACAACTTTCTGGGGTAGGGGTGCCATTTTTCTTCAGGAGTGTGGCATCTGATAGGCTACCCAAACTCTGTGGATGGCCCACACCCATTCTGCCTGCAGGCAACACTAACTGGAATCTAGGTTTAAAAAGGAGAAGGAGTTGAAGGTGGGAGGGGAAGCATTGTGAGATTGAAAAGGAGCGGATGTTGGTTTTGGATATGATCAAGACACATTCTATGCATGTGTAAAACTAACAAGGAATAAAAAAGATATTTGGAAGAAATGCACAGTATACAAGCTTTAAGAGAATGCAATAATAATGTATCCTTGTATATCAATTACATACTGTCTGAACATATTGAAGGGAAGCTGAATATTTTATGAGCAAACATTTTCAGTTAAAAAGTACATGCAAACCTTTACAGTAGAGTCCCACGATGCAGAATACAGCCTGTCGTTATGCCAACAGATCTTGCTGACAGCATCATCATGTCCCATCAGTGTGTCCTGACGTCTTCCGAATGCTATGGAATAAAAATAGCTAAAAGATAACAACAACTATTAAAATAATAGCCAGGCTTAACTTTAAGATTTTAAACATCCATTGAAAAAACAAATATTATTTCTAAAATGCTAATCTTTACTTGAATTACAAATTGCTTGTTCTTATATTAGTAAGGAAAAATATTCAACATTTGGATTTGAAATTAGATTACTTCCAAATCTGTCTTAGCTACATTTCACCCGAGTTTAAAAGTTAGAAAAAAATAGATCCTCACTGGAGAAATTACTACATTAAAATAATGGTATTTGAACCCAGTGATAGTGTCCTCATGTCTAATATGTTTCCTCTAGTAGAGCCTTCTTATCCCTCACATCCACATGGGAGGAAGCCACTAAGCATGCAACATTAATTACAAAGAAGCAGGCACAGATACATACACGTTGTTATCCCACGAAGAACTTATGACAGTGGTGTCTCCTGGCAAAAGTAAACAAGATGATAGAGCCTGAAATACAAAAGATTTGATATTTAATGACTTGGAATAATTAGTAAATTCTTTACTGGTATACCTCTCTTATGGATGCCTACCAAACCAATGTCAGACTCTTTCTATAGTGGCTACCAGCTCTATAGTGGCTCATAGCTACCAGGGCTCAGCGTGGGCAAGTCCAGATGTACGGTTTTCTCCCAAATGCTTAGATTTGCCAGGAATACTGTAGCCCAGCCTGATGCATCTTGGGCTCCCACAGGGCTGGAGGGATGTTGCTAATCTGGAGTGGACTGTGGTAGGATGATAGTCCTTAAGGATGCAATGACTCTGTGTATTGCAGAGATGTGACTAAGGAAAATACAAAGTTCTTAGGGAATTTCAAAATCTCTTGGAAAGCTGACATTAAAAATAAGGCACATTTCTTTAATAACTGGTTTTATTTCCCCTAAGTAATCAGAAGTACCTAAATTATTTAAGTAACACAGAAATATTTCTTTTCTGATAACTAAAAGGAAGGATAAACTTTTTATGGAGAATTTTTCTGGGTATTCAAGATCTTACCTTAAAATGAAATCACACTAGTATAAGAAAGAAACAAGCAGAAACTGGACCTCCTTTATTGCTTCCTGCCAGCCCTCCCCCTCCACCCTCCCTGCCAGATCAAGGACCCAGGATCTTGCATTTGAGCACTTGCCATACGCTAGGCAAATGCTCAAATATAGAACTACATCCTAGACTCCATGTGTTTTTAGTGTAACACTGGTAAAATAAACTTACCATATTTGAAAATGATATGCTTCTTTGTAGCATTTTGGATTCCTTAGAAAACATCTTCAGAGTGGAATCTAAGAATCAGAACAGAGATGGAACATTTCCTAAGCATTATAGATGCCAAAGGAGAGCCACCCTACTTACTCTTGAAGGGCAGAAGTCAGTGTCATGCCATGTATGCAAGCGTCTTGCCAACATTAAGATCCTATGACCTATAACTTCCTGAAAGATCAGTTGAAACCGTACAATCCCAGCACAGACTTGGTTTGCCACTGACATTTCTAAAGGCCTTTATGCACAGTGCAGCCCACACTCAAGTGCGGGAAGTTACAGAGGAGGGATGCATGAATCTTAATATCAAAACCAAAGTGTACAGGTATGTGAGCATGCATATGTTTGCCTTTTAAATCATTTACATGTACCACATGCATGCCTGCTGCCTGTGCAGACCAGAAGAGGGTACTGAATTCCCTGGAACTGGAGTGCTAGAAGTGTTTATAAACGAGCATGTGTGCACTGGGAACCAAACCCATGTTCTCTAAAGAGTAATAGTTTTACACACTGAGCCATTTCTCCAGGCCTAATTTTAAGAAAACAAAGACTTTGGTTAATAGAAGTAATTTTTAAAAAATGAATGGCCTAATAATAGAGTGACATTCTTTTTCTGAATTATTTATAGATGAGAAGTACTTTTATTTTTATTATTTTTCCTTTTAACTGAGGAAGGAAAATATTTTGTATATACTCAAATTCCTGAGCTCTGCCCCACACAGAGCAGAGCTGGCACTGAAAAGAAAGGCGGGGCGAAAGATAACAAACTAAAAGGGAGTGGGGATGGAACAATGATAGGACACAAATGTGCCAGCTGAACACTTTGAGTTCTGTAGCAGAGCAGATGCCAATCAAGTGTGTACACTGGCTGGGAGAACCACTTACTTATAAAATAACAGCAGTGCAGGGATGAAAACACCCAAATGATTAATTTCCTTGACTAATAGACACTGTGCAAGTTCACCAACACAAACTGTTAAAAACCAGAGCAGATGCTCAGTGAAAGAGCATTACCATGGGAGCAAAGACATGGATGCCATCTCCAGCACCCAAAACCAGCCCCCAGGACTCACAGCTTAATGTTCCTACGGATATTCTATCATGCAGTAACCTACTTCCTAAATTCCAACATGGTAGCCCGTCAGAATGAGCTTTTAATAAATTTCCTCTCTACATTGAGACTTTCTTGGCAACAGAATTCATGAAAATTTATAAACAGGAGCCTCAGTAAGACTTCCCTTATTGCTAGGTTGTGAACAAACACAACTGCACTTGACTGCTCTCTGCAGGGTATCATTAATCTTGGAACAACCTCCCAATTTGCTTTTGTCCCGTTAGGCAGTGCTGTGGCTCATCACAGTCTACTGAAGACAATTTGATCACTTTACAGAGACACAAATTAGCCAAGACACTTTTCTCCAAACCAAAGATTCTGCCCCGGCACTAGAAGCTGTTAGGTAAAGACAGCAGTGAGCGCTGATCCCCCAGGTGATAGCCATGAAACCGAAGCGCACTGTGCATCTGAGGGGGAATTTAAGTGTGAGGCCAATATTAGACTGCATATAAACCAGTAACACCAAATCTAATTTGGAGAAATTTAAATTAAAACAAAAATACAAGTGTTTGACTTTAACAAAAATCCTTCCATTTTACTTGGCAAATTCACAAAGCAGTGGTACGAAGCTTAATAACCTGGGGGAGACCTGCAACCTTGATGGTCATAACACAAAACACATGATTTACATGGTCACATGAGTACAGAGATTTGAAGATTTGACAAGCCATGCCAGACAAACCATGCTACGAACCACTAGCCCAGTAGTTCTCAACCTTCCCAGTGCTGTGGCCTTTAATACAGTTCTTCATGTTGTGGTAACCCCCCAACCATAAAATTATTTTGTTGTTACTTCATAACTAATTTTGCTACTGTTATGAATCATAACATAAATATCTGAAAGCGACTGCCATGAAGGGTCATCCACCCTAAAGGGGTCATGCCCACTGGTTGAGAACCACTGCACTAGGAACTCTGTTAAAAGACACAAGTGTTTGTTGGTTGCTTACTGGGTCAACATAGGGGCTAGCAATCTTGGCAGAATACAGACGGCTTCCTTCTTACCGAGCAGCACAGCGGGTGCCCTGACATGTTCTGTGTAGTGTTCTGCATATAAACTTTCCTACACAATCGTTTTGTAGACTTTGTGGGAAATTTTATTTTCTGGAATCCAAGGTGGTATATAACAAGGGAAAATGAAATGCTACAGCTCACATGCCACAGTAACAGAATGTGGGAGCAGCGACTCATCTACCTGGATATGGTTAGCGGTATAGCATCATTTATGGCATGATTGATGGAAACTGCAGTCTCCTGTGCTCATCTAAGACTCAGAAGAGCGGCTTCATGAGAAACAATCACTAGCTTTGTCGGAAGCTGTCCTGACACTAAAATACGCTTCTAGTAATGACAGACTTCTAGGAAAACGTGTGTGCAGCAAGAGATGAATTTTACTGTTTCTATAGATCTGCACAGCCAAATTCTAATGGATCATTAAGATATAATTCTAAGTCTTACCAAAAGGCCCAGTACACTATCAATATATGAATTCAATGTCATGTTATGTCCTACAAAAAAAAATCGAGAGTCATAAGCTAACAGCAAGAAAGCTAACAGCAAATCTGCCTCCCACAGCTAATGTGCACCACCACCCTGGCAGTTCAGGTTTGGCTCAGCCCTGGCTACTCCTCCATGCCATTCTGAGTTCTGCATGCCACATAGCAGGCTTGGAACCCCTTGCAATAAGATAGCCTGGAGTAAGCAAGGCCATGGCCAATGAACTCTTCCTGCCTTGTGTCTTCAATCAGGAAACCTTGTCAGCATCAGGAAGCCTTTCTTTTTGCAACCTACAACAAAACTTTTCTAAGCCTATTCTATGTGGAAGCAGCACGTGCCAATGAGTAAAGCTCACACACTGATTCTAGCTAAACAGCATTTTGTAAACGGAGACTGCTCAGACCCGAATAATCACATAGAAACTACATTATTTACAACACTGTTTGGCCAATGGCTCAGGCATATTCCTAGCTGGCTCTTATTTCTTAAATTTATCCATTTCTATTAATCTGTTTATCGCCATGAGGATGTGGCTTACCAGTAAGATTCTGGTATCTTTCTCCTTTGACAGCGACATGGCATCTCCTTGGCTTCACCTACTCTCTCTCTATATTTGGATTTCCCGCCTTGTTATATTCTGCCCCGCCATAGGCCAAAGCAGCTTCCTTATCAACCAATGGCAATGAAACATATTCACAGCATACAGAGGGGAATCCCACATCAGTTTTTCAGGCGGGAAAACATACCTTGTGATGTGGTAAAGACTGAAGACCCATTGCAAGACACTGCTATCCCTGTAACTGCCCTGTTGAAAATTGAAGTTTTATAGATTATCATTAGCCATGTGCTGGGACACCTGCTTTATTTTTCCTAAGCTCCCTTCATTTTGTCTTCATGGCTCTTTCACTTGCACTGTTCTCTGCGTGTCCCTGCCATTACATGCCATTGCGTATTAATGCCCACTTTCCTCAGACAGACAACACCTGCTGCTAGCAAACATTCCTGCTCTTTGCTCCCCAAAACTGCTGCAGATGATGCTGAACCCTACCATCCCACCTTATCTGACCATACCCAAAATGACAGCACTTATTCTTC